AAAAAACAAGACAATGTGTTTTAGACATTGTTGAAAAAGGTGGTTTATCCCACCTACAAAACATACATAAAGAACATGAAGCTTCTTTATACTGTACATAAAATGTAAAACTTTTACAGATGAAGTTTTCTCTTATATTCCAGGCTATATGAGAAGCATGGTGAGGCAGCTGTACGCTCATTTTCCCAGTTCTATCCCATTATAACTCCTGCTGACGTGGAGACGGTGGCTCAGCGAAGCCACTTCCTGGCGTACCTGGATAATCTTGTACATTCAAGAGCTAAGGAGCATAGGTGCGTCTTATATGTTTGTGTTTTATGTAGGTTAACAGACACTTTGCTGAGTGAATCTATAATTCAGCAAGTTGTTTCTGTTAGGTTGTCATTTCTTCAGTCACTCCTTGAACCTGAATCACTGAGACAGGATTGGCTGGAGCTGGTCCTGACTCACGATGCCCCTCAACACGCCGATACCCTGACCTCTGATGGAAGGCCCAGGTATTCAGCTTTTATGTATTCAGTCATTGGACCAATCATTTATTTATTTTTTTAAGGTTTTGTTGGCTCTAGAGGCCTTTATTTGAAAGTAGTTCAACAGGAAAGAGGGTAATGAGAGAGGGGGAAGACATGCGGCAAATGTCACCAGGCCGGGAATCGAACCGGCGACCACATGGGTTGTGCTTTTCTCCTGCACCACTACAGCTCCCCGGAAACAGAATTTGTAGAGATGCTGACAGAAATCAACTGGTGTCCAAAGTTAGATGATGTTCAGTTTGATTGACCTTGGTGGGAGACAGTAACACTCTTTGGTTGTGAACTGTGTGATTGAGTGAAGAACATCTAATGTTAGCAATTTTTAGTTTCAGTCATGTTCAGAGTAAAGACAGAAGCACAGGAATGTGAGAAGATGTTAGTGTTTAGCATTTTTTTTTGTTTGTTTTTCAACCTGGTCCAGTTTAAGAAAAGAAAATGAGAGGGTAAAAGTGTGTTTGCTGCTGCAGGTGGCGTTCGCACTGTTTCACCTGGGGCTACGGACGTCTTTTGTCTTTGCTCATTCGTCTTCCTGCAGACATTTCATCTAAAGAGAAGATGAATGAAATGTGCCGCAGTCATGGGTATTTCTGATTATTTTTCATCAGAGGAAAACTGTCTAGTCTTCATGATCTTGGCAGTACACTTCAACATAACATGTCCATGCTTGTGCAGGTATTGGACCGGTTACCTCTACCTCTGCAAAGAGCTGCAGCGTCGCACTGAAGCATTTTCCACCATCTGTCAGCTGGATGACCTCAGCCTCCTGGAGGATCCTGATGGTAAACTGTTAACAATAATTACAAAAATAATCAGCCTTTGGGTTGTTGTCACATGACAAACATCTAAGTTAAGCATTAGAAACCAGCTCTAAAGTGAAACGACCTCAAGAATCCAGAGAAAATCTCCTGTTGCCTTTTATTTAAGTTCAGGGATAACAAAAAGATATTGTTAACCACTTTAGTTTTTTTCTGCCTTAATTCAAATAATTGGTCAAATTAGGCATAGTTGTCACCTAATCTCAAATGTAACAGCAATCAGTGAAACTAATATACATTTAATGGAAAAGTAAAAGGACCTTTAATAAACTTATTTCTCTAGGGCAGAGACTACATGTTTGTTTTTGTGTAGCAATAACTCATTTTTATTTGGGGCCAAAACAAGAATGTGAATATTCTCAAAGAACTGGTTGTGGCAGAATTATTAGCAAACTGGTAACGTACCAATAAATAGCTACCTCTGCGCTTGATGAGTACATCTTGATTTTTTACATTTATGTAATTTGCTTTGATTTCATTGATAAAATAATGTTTTAAGCACACAACTGGTTTTTGAAGGTCTTTTTTTGTGGCCCTCTAGAAGGAAGAGGGCTGCTTAAAAAGCTGCTGTGGGCCAGATTTGGCCCTTGAGCCTTGAGTTTGACACATGAGCCTCTAATCATTCCACACGTTTCCAGGTGTTGAACCTCAGAACCTGGACGAGTGGAAGCTGCTGATCCAGCTCTCTCAGCAGTATTGCCATGTGGCAGATGCACAGCCGGCCACAGATGTGAATGGGAGCAGCTGGTCCAACGGCTCCACAAACTGCGAAGGACGGATCAACCCGGAGAGTGTGACCCTCCTGCTGGCTCGGACGCTGGGGCCTGACCGGGCCCTGGAGCTGCTGCATGAATGTGGAGTGCAGGTGGTCCTTTCAGCCCAGTCCAAGCTGGTGTGTGACCTGCTGAGAGTCGCAGAGAGGAGGCAAAGGTGGGTCAGACTGTTGATAAAATAATGTACAACAAAGCCCCCACTTTTTTGAAACAATTTTTTATTTATATAGAAATAGTCTAGAAAACAAATGTTTATATCCTACTTTGATCCACCTGGTTTTTTTCTTGTTTGGTTGAAGCTAAGAGTAGATATAATCTATTAATTTTTCCCTACTAATTTAAGATAATTCTTTATTAGTGCCCCAAGTGTGACTTTTAAGGCTCTTTTAAAGATATTTTATCATTTTAAGATATGACATGCAGGTTTTGTGTTGTGATTAGAAGCTAAAACACATTTGAAGTGTCTATGGTAACAGGTTGGTGCCTTAAAAGGATCTTTTAAGAGTCAAATATGTTTTTTTCTTGTTTTTGATTTTCAGGGCGATGATTCAGAACATGCTGGAGCGCTGTGATCGGTTCCTCTGGTCTCAGCATGCCTAAAACCTGATTGGTGCATCAATCCCTAGTTTAACACCTTTGTGATTTCTGTCTACACAAAAAAGATACTAAAGCTTCAATTACAAGTGTTGTCTTTTTAACGCCATACCATTGACTATCAGTATTCATGCATTACTTTGCATCATTGTTTCCTGCCTAATATTTCAGACTGTTTTTGCATGCTTGCACATTAATCTATTATATCTATGTATTAAAGGCCAAAGAAATTGTCTTCCTCCTTTGAAAAAACTATACTTGAATTAATTAAATGATTATGTGAAAAGCAGTTTTTATTATTTGAATGAAATTGTGAAAACAGTTTTGTTTGTTTTAGAGAATGAACACTTTTTGTGAAAATGATTGTAACCACATGAAAGTGTTTTGCTTTCATGTGTTAAAGCCACAGAAAATATTCTCTCCCCCATTAAAATTAATCTACTATAAAAAAAATATCTGTTGTTGCGAAAAGGGAACATGAACACAGTGAGCAGAATATCAAATATTACTTCTCTGGCTATATTTTATTAATTTTAAGGCAGTTTGTTTCTCTACTCCCAACATTAGAGGATAGGTAATCTGGGTCAAATGTGATCAAATTAATAACAGAGTAATGAAATGAGGTCAGTGACCCATTTGATGCTATCACACACCTGGAGGATCAAAGAGGTGATTTTTTTTTTCACCACATCACGTTTGACTTTTAAAGGCTCCAAATGGGCAAAGTCGCTGAGTGAAGACTCCCACTGTAATTAACTGATATTGTTACGGATTTTCCCTCCTATTTTTGTAATGTCATGTTCAGCTTCCTCATTATTTCCCAGAATCCCTGCCTCCCTCATCTTCCCGCCCGTCCACCTGTCTGAGTCATTGGCACAGGGATGATGAGATTAATACTAGGAACGACACAAACACGATTGTACTGAACATACAGAGACCTTCAAAGATATTTTGCAACAGTACATCTGATTTCTCCCTTTATTTATTGGGACTTTTTGTGATAAACGTGAGGAAAGAAAAGGTTACGTAGTTTTCTAATATGCTGTGTGCATCTGTTTACTCTGACCCTCATGTAAAGTTATGGTGACTTGAAAAGTTTGTTAGAATTTATTAGTGAACAAACATCATGGATATCTAAGAAACAGCAAATGGAGAAAGAAAGTTGTGGAGAAGTTTAAAGCAGGACTATAACTCAAGCTTTATACATGTCATCATGAAAACTGATATGCAAGATGCGTCACTGGTCACTGTAAAAGAATCCACTCTTTAAAACATGGGACAGTGCCAGAAGAGAAACAACCAATTCAGTGTAAGTACATCAAGAAGACCCCAGAAGAAAAATTTCCTGCAACATGAATTTACATGACTTCAGAATCATCCACTGAAAATGTGGATGAAAAACATGTTCTGTGCTAGAAAAACAAGGTGATGAGGCAGACTGCTTGGAAAAGGAGAATGTCATCTCTCATCCTCAACTGGTCACTGAAAATGAATCCATCTCTAAAAACACAGGAGACAGCAGATGAGCTAGAACAAGAACAAAACAATACAATGTCTAATAGTCTGAACCAGACAACCTCCAGGAGAAGAAGTTAACTGAGGTCTCTAACAACCAAACGCCAGAAGATTCAGACTACAAAAACCAAAATTACAACTCAGTCCCCATCCCTTTACCCTGATCCAACACAACCACCAAATGTATTTAAACTGATTATTGACCTTCAACAACATGTATACATATTTTTACCATTATCTTTTTCCAAAAGACCATGTAATGTTTCTAAATTAGTTTTATTTCACTGGGTGAAAATGGTTCCTTTAGCTATAAATGTATACTGTTTTACTCTAAATTTAATCAAACCATAAAACCTCTGGCTACCTCAGTGTTGCTCTCTGTGTTGTTATGAGTGAAATGTACAGTTCAGGAATTTATTGGAAATGTTAGTTTGACAGAAGGTTTTCATCATGGGCCAGAAGACAGATTTGAAAGGTTTTTGGGTGGAGGTTGGGAGTCTGGTGTTTGATGTTGCTTCGCTGTCACCAGAGGCAGTGATAAGGGGATTCTGCACATACCTGTGATCTCCGCTGCCTGTTTATCCGCGACACTATAACACCCGCTGCCTCCAGGGACGAATAAGAGTGAGGACTGCGAAGATAACAACTCATTTTCCAAGCATTGCTGAGGTTTGACGACTTACTGAACGGCCATAGTGAGTTTCTCTCTTTACTGTTTTTTATCCAACAGCCTCATGCAGTTTGCTTGAATCAACCACGTCTCATTTCAGATGTCAGCATCTCTAATTGGACTTGCTCTTGTCCTGCTTGCCTTTCCGGAGCACACTGTGATGAGTACACCATTTGGCAACAACTCAGGTAAGAGTTTCAATAGATTACTTCTAGAAAGAGCTGCACTAACTGCACATTTCTTCTCAGAAACTGCCTATTTGGGTTCAGCGTACATCCATCAGGCTCTTCAGCGAGCCATTGAGCTGACTGATGCTGCTTATGCCCACACGTCTGAGAGGTAAAACCTCTTGATCGTGGGTTGAGATAAATCTGAAAAAGTCTCATTGGAAAATCATATTTTCAGGGTGAAGAAGTCTTATACTGAAGGTGCCCTCAAACCCAGTGACCTGCTGGCCCAGTTTAAACAAATTGAAACCAGAACCCGGACTCACATTCGAGCTGCTGAGCTGCTGGACATCACAGTGGAGCTGATCCGAGAGATGGTCTACACCAACACGATGACGCAGTCCAAGCCGTATGGTACCAAACCCATTTCAAATCAAAGCATCTGAACCTGCAGCTCAGATTGTTAAATGACTCTGTGTAGTGTAACAGTTGCACATTTTATTGTAACTCGGTTCTAAATGGAGGTTCAGGGAAATTTTTAGTTTTCATAAAATGCTGTTTGTATTTATTTCTTAGAGCTTTTCAGTGAAGGGGATGTGGAGAATCTGCTCCAGGTGACCGGTTGCTCTGCTGAGCTGCACACCCTCAGCTGTCAGACAGACTGCATGTCTGAGCGCTACAGGTCCATCACAGGCGAATGCAACAACAGGTGAGAGTGATATGCAAATCACTCACGCACCTTTAACTTTTTATTTACATTTTAGAATGTTAAAACTACAAACTTCGAGATAGTTTATTTGGATTTCATGTGATAACTTTTACATTTACAGAAAGTAGTGCATAACTGTGAAACTGAAGAAAAAGACAGGCATTCTTTTCTAAATGTTTTACAGATAAAACATTTTGCACATTTAAATACTGAGAATTTTTCAAATTCCTCTTTGCAAAGCAGCTCAATCTAAACCCAACACATTAATATCTAAAACTGATTTATTGCAGTTCGGGGTGTTTATGAGAGCAGATGAGCCTCTGCCCCAGTCTCTTAACAGGGTTTATTGCACTATCGCCCTGCATGTAGCTTCATCCATGTTTCCTGTGACCAGCTTTCTTGTCAGTGCTGAAGAAAAACATCTCCATTGCATAATACTGTCACCACATTGTAGATCAAATTATTTGAGTGTCAACAGATTCTCCCACCTGAGCCGTGGCTCTGCAGCTTTTTCAGCGTTCTTCCGAATTGATGCACTCCCTGTCATTTTGCTCAGTTTCACTTTCCATTTCCACATGATGAATTTAGCAGCATTTTTACAGTGGTCTGTCACATACAGTCCAAATAAATTATGTTTTGTTTCCCGTTGAGACAACATCCAAGATGGGGCGCTGCAAACATCCCATATTCCCGCTGGTTGTCTCCAGAATATGAGGATGTGTGGGGGACGCCCAAAGGCTGGGACCCTGAGCACACCTACCATAACATCAGCCTGCCTCCTGTAAGGCCCCCCACTGCAGCTCACGCTCCCCTCCCTCTTTGCCTCCATCAATCTCCATCTTTTTTATCATCCAGGTGAGGCTCGTGTCGCAGGAAGTGCTGTTTACTCACAACGATAAAATCTCTGTGGACTCCACTCTGTCCCACCTGCTGGTGGACTGGGGTCAGTGGATAGACCACGACATGGTGCTGACCCCTCAGAGCCCCAGCACATCCGTCTTCAAGACAGGCGCTGACTGCACCCGCAGCTGCAGCCGGGACTCGCCCTGCTTCCCCATTCAGGTGCACTTCACTCACTTTTCTAATTTATTTAATAAATTCTAATATGATACATTATGTGAAGTTTTAGAGGATGATCACTAAACGTTTTGAATTATGCTCTGCTTTTGTGCAACATGAACTATTTACTGCTCAGTGTGAAGTATCTCCTGAGAGAACTAGGTTAGAAAAGAGAATTCTGTTCCTCTTTTTAAGCAGTAAAGTTATCCATAAAACATTGAACTCTTTTGCTGTTCAGTAATTTAAACAAGGTCCTTAAACAAGGATATGTTCACATCCCTTAAACTTTTTTGCTATGTATTATTTTACTGAGGTTTTATGTTCTGGGCGAGGCATCTGCACAAATCAAAGAGCCGTTTTTGCACTCAATCCAACTAAATAAAATTCCCTCAAAGTTGCAAACGTCACATAATCTTTTGTGAAAAGAGAAGTTAAAACGTTTTAATGAATGACTACTGTAGGATGCGATGCTTGATTACCAAGCTGTAAAATATCTCAAATGTACGATGTGAGTTTTCATTCAGCCTCCTTTACTCTGATACCCCTAAACAAAATCCAATGCCACCTGAAGTCACTTGAAGTCGTTTTGTGCGTGATCCTGCTGTTGTGCAAATGCCTCAGAGGTTTGTTGGAGACCCAGAAGCAAAGCGGATTGGTCAGGGAAGAACAGCTACATCCACAACTGTGAAAACAAAACTTTGACAGAACATGAGTTAGTTTGCAAAGAAAAATAGGAGTGAATTTTAGTATCTGGATGTGTCTTTCACAAAATCTCAATGAAATATATAAAAGTTTTTCTGTGAGAAATTGTGAGAAATACTGCATACTTTGGCAAGGCTATTTATTTCACATGAGGCAAAGAGTAAACTCATCTAATACTAAGAACAGTCAAAGAATAAATGGAGTCATCACTTTTGTTCATTAGACTTCTGTCATGCTGCTGTTCTACAGTTTAGATGGCTGCCATATTTATTATGGTTAGATGAATTAACATGGAGCAGATTTCTGTGCAGCATTAAAAGTTATCATTTCCCTCTCAGATCCCGCCATCTGATCCTCGCAGCGGCATCCAGAGCTGTATGCCTTTCTTCCGTTCTGCTCCCAGCTGTGATATCGGAGTCCTGCCTCCTCGCCAGCGGGAGCAGCTCAATGCCATCACCTCCTTTGTAGACGCCAGCATGGTGTACGGCAGCTCCCCTGGTTTGGCCTCTGCCCTCAGAAACCACTCGTCTCCTCTGGGCTCCATGGGCCTCAACTCCCAGTACTGGGATGAGGAGCTGCCGTATATGCCATTCCTGTCCCGGGTGCAGGCTCACCTGGACCCCTGCGGTCCCCGTAACTCCTCCTCCGCGGGGGCGTCGAGCAGATCGGCACTCAGGCAGAACACCACTTCATGCTTTCATGCCGGTAAGCAAGTGAATGTTGTGAATTATTCTGCAGACTTGCATGCAGGTAAAACATTTTTATTTATTTATTTTTCCAGGGGATTCAAGAGTCAATGAACATCTGGGACTGATTGTGCTGCACACACTCTTTCTGAGAGAGCACAACCGGCTGGTGAAGGAGCTGCACCAGCTCAACCCTCACTGGAGTCCAGAGACCCTCTATCAGGAAGCGAGGAAGATCATCGGAGCCATCCACCAGGTGTCTGCAGCAGGTCCACCCGGACTGGGCGTCTGCACACTTTACATCCAAACATTCAGTTCAGCTAAACAGAACTCACTTAAAGTCACAAATGTTGCCTTTAAAAAAGTGTTAGGATCATTGATCCAGACACATAATAAGGTCCATAGAATAAAGACAAAACAAACAAGATGATAAAAATATTTAAAGAAAAAAGATTAAAAAAAAAAACAAGACACATAATATTGTTCACTGAGTCACAAATAAATGATGATGCCAATCATATTTAAGATACCAATTTCAAAGTGTCAAATTACAAAGTCACATTTTCTTTTTAAGTTATGTTTATAACATTTACAGTATTTTCTTTAACAATTGAAGGCCACATAGTTAGATTGTGCTATAAAATGGTGCAAAGGGTCTGGAAAAATACATAATAATCCCCTTTAAAACCTGGTTCATCCACATTCGAATCGCTCCAAGCCGGTTTCCCATTTCCTTTTTCAGATCCTAACCTGGGAGCACTACCTGCCACGGGTGCTTGGTGAGAGCGCCATGTCCCGGCTGATGCCCCGCTACCAGAGGTACGATCCAGGCGTTGACCCAAGCATCGCCAACACTTTTGCTACGGCGGCGTTTCGTTTTGCTCACGTCACTGTTCAGCCAGTAGTGAACCGTCTGGGTCCAGATTACACCTTTAACCCCGAGTATCCCCCTCTGCCTCTGCATCACTCACTGTTTGCTTCATGGAGGGTCATACAGGAAGGTAACCAAGGTCCGATCTGAAACCATTTTCGTTAGGTTTTAGTGTTTGCATTTCATTCTCTCTTGTTATTGTTTAGGTGGTATCGACCCAGTGCTGCGAGGCATGCTGCTGTCTCCCGCAAAGCTGCAGACTGCAGGTCAGATGATGGTGGAGGAACTTACAGAAAGGCTGTTTCAGGCACAGGGGGGGATGCCTCTGGACCTCGGGGCCCTGAACCTGCAGAGGGGCCGGGACCACGGCCTGCCTGGTAACCAGCTTCCTCACCTCACAGACACACAGCATGGCTTCTTCATCGCATTACTTTGAGACCAAAATTAAGCAGGCAAAAGTTTAGTCAACATTTAAACTGCTAAATAAGGAGGATAACTATTTCCTCACATGGAAATGTGGAGGAATGCATGATATTATCAGCATGGTATCTGTATTGATGTAAGCTGTAAAATTTAATATCAGACATTGGCCATTCTGTCAAAAATAACTCACTGATAAAAAAGGCATTTTTTTCTACATGACAAACCAGTAAAAATGATGCCTGCAGCACAACATCAAATTGACATTATTTGAGCGTTATGCATAAATGCATTATGTTGCATTAAACATAATGCAAGTTGAAAGAGTTCCATCATTTTCAGTCTTCTTTTTAGCATTTGCATTTGGTAGCAGGCTAAATTGGCAAAGATAATATAGTATTTTAATTCCACATTAGAGAAAGCCATATATTTTCAATAAAAATATTTTAAAAATCAGTTTTGTATGTTATCGGTCGAATGAGTTTTAGTATGTCAGCAAATCGGATAGCAACAAAAAATCTAATATCATGCATCCCTAATTTTAATTTTGTGGGAAAAGTTCATTAGGTATCCACAAATCATGTGTCTCTATTTTGTGTTTGAAATGTATTATTCTCATCTTATGCTCTTCTCATCCATCAGGTTACAGCTCATGGCGCCAGTTCTGTAATCTTTCTGTTCCCAACACAATGTCAGATCTGGCCGAAATTTTGGGGAACTTGACTTTGGCTCGTAAGTTTGAGCTTTTATACGGAACCCCGCACAACATCGACGTGTGGGTCGGGGCCATATCTGAGCCGGCTCTACCCGGAGGACGAGTGGGACCGCTCCTGTCCTGCCTCCTGACCAGACAGTTCAGAGCACTGAGAGACGGGGACAGGTAGGAGTCAAAACAGCTTAGAGTGATTATACAGAAAAGTGGAGAGTGTAATCTGTTCTTGTCCATCCAGATTCTGGTGGGAGAGAAATGGCGTTTTCACCAGAACCCAGAGAAGACACCTGCGCAACGTCTCCCTGTCCCGCATCATTTGTGACAACAGCCACATCAGCCGTGTCCCTGTGGACCCGTTTTCACTCACCGAGAGCCCTGAAGAGATGCTGGCCTGTTCCCACCCACTCATCCCCCATCTTGACCTCGGCCCCTGGAAAGAGCCTCACACAGGTGAGGAAGTGGGAAAAAGAAAATCTGCATTTTTATGTTTATTTTTATACAACTGTCTCCTCCAGATCCCGTCTGTGGCCCGATACCCAGGATTCACTCTGGCTACTCTCTGCTCTGCAACTTCACGATCCTTTATCAGTGTCGGGTTGGATTCAGGCTGCTGGGTTCTGCATCCATCAGCTGTGATGCAGAGAGCCAGAAGTGGAGCTCCCCGCCTCCAACGTGTCAAGGTAGAAGAGACATTTCTGCAAATGGTTCATATAAACCAATAAGAATATTTGTGAGGCCTCTTTAACAAAGTTGATACTTTCCTCAAAACCCTGCTGTGTCTAATTCTGTCGTTAGATTACGTCCTCTGATGGAGGATTGAAGTACTACAGGCAGCAAGTGCCAATTTTACTTTTAAGAAGCAGAATTTTATGTATGCAAAGTCCATTTTTGAAATGGTTACATGGAATAAAATGTAAAATAATAATAGTATTAAAGAGCAAAATAAATTGAATGTTATTGATTGTTTTACAGAGAAAATGTGACAATAATTTCTATCTGTTACAATACACTCTGTAGGCAGGTTTAATTTATAGCTCAGTGCAAAAGTTCTTTTCAGTAGATTTTTTATTTATTCAGTATTTTACATACAAAGATAAAAACTGGACTAAATATATTGTTTCATTTAGATTTGAATGTACTGAAAGGAATGACTGACAGTTTGTATGATGCAAACTGTCACTGTATAATTTTGTTTTGATACGATGCAATATATTTGTCGTAAAATATAAAAAGTACAAGTGTTCATCTATTACATGGTTATATCTTTTTCGTGTAGATATTAATGAGTGTGAGGATCTGATTTCTTCTTGTCCACAACATCTGGAATGCCTGAACACAGCAGGTTCCTTCGTTTGCTCAGGTCGGTTCAGAACAGTGAAAACATGGACATAGCACTGAACATATCAGGAACATGTGTCTGTTCTAATCCCAAATTGGTGTGAAGCAGAGCCCTCCCCGCTGTCTGCTGTCTCCATCGTGGCTGCAGTGATAGTGGTGATGGTTGGTGCGGCCGGCCTGGTGCTGCTCCTCATCTGTTATCGAAGGTGAGCTCGCAAAAATTGAGAAAGAGCTCATATAGTTTTTCTTGCAAAGGTTTTCGAATATTTTTACAGCAAATTACTAGATCAACACAAGATAGAGAACACATGTGAAGTGGGTGGAAAAGGATGCGTGGTTTTAATGTGAAAGTTGAGGGAAGTATTGGGCTCTACTCCACTACATCTGCAGGATTTACAGCAAAATAAACTTCCCTCAGAAATCACAGAATAAAAAATACAATCCACCTGAATGGCTACATCTCTACATCAACCCACTTTACTCTTGTTATAGTACATAATATGCTGAAAGGTTGTTTTTTTCCACCAGGGAGCCATATTAGAGCCAAATAGAAATGGATGGCGCTATTAAAATAGGAATTATTCTGATCCTACGCCTTATTCTAGAAGATATAACCAGTAGATTTAAACATGAAATCTATAATACAAATACTATAATACTAATAGAGATAGAACCAATCAAACCGACTGATCGCCCTGCAACAACTGCCCCGGAAATTTCATTTTTAGGTTATTTTAGACCTGAATCCAGTTGAGAATTATTTTTCAGTCGCTCTCCATCAAATTTGGCTGAACATTTTTTAATTTGCAAAACAGAATAGACAAAAATGACTGCCTGAATGTGCAAAGCAGGCTGAACTCCCCAAAACACTTACAGCTGTAAATGGAGTAAAATATAACTGCATATAAAAAAATGATGAAACCCATTTCCTTCCGCTTCACAAGTGCGTGCTCCTTTGGTCTGTGGCATCAAAGCGCAACAAAATATGAGTTAATAAAATACTATTTAAAATATTGTGTACACTTCTGATTTAATGTGAATCAATTTGTTTCTTGCAGATATTTTCCAAAGTCCGAAGAGTTGATCTCTGCTGAATGTAGGCGGGAGAAGAGCTGACCTCTTTTAATCTTTTTTGATATTAATCTGACTTCTCAGATGTAAAATGTTGTCCCTTTTATAAATAATGTCTTCACTTATTGTCTGAATAAGTTAGCGTTCAACTGTAAGCGCCCTCCCCACATGTGACATCACGTTTTGTCCCCACGTTGTGACACCGTCCGTTCAGAAAACCCCGGGCCAAACCATTCGTACTCGTCTCCGACGGTTTGTGTAAACAAGTCGTGAAAACAGAAGCCGTTTTAATCCGGAAACTGTAAATCTTACAGGAATGATTGCTCTAAAAGCAGATTTCCTAATCTTAGTGTGACTGAGCCTGCTTACCGCTTACAAACTTGTTGGGTAACCGAGGGCCAGAAAGTGTTCCTGTCAGGGTGACCGGAGAGAAGAGGCAGCCTGAGACACCGCAAACATGTCTGCCATATTGTCCTGCATGCCGTCCAGATTTTGGAGCAATCATTCCTGTAAGATTTACTCACAGTTGACTAATGAGCCAACCAATTCACCACTTTCATTTTGCATTATTTATTAAACCATTAGAACTTTGGATGGAGGTATCACACCTGAGTGAAGTTGCCCCCCCACCTTCTTCAAATCAGACAAGATTGGTGTCAAACGTTTGTGCTACGTTTGTGCTGGTTTGTGCAGCAAAAGTTTTTGTTTGTGCTGCTTTGGCTTTGAAGACATAAATGAAAGGTTAAAGGTCAAAAGGTCAACCAGCCCCCCACTTTCATAAAATCAGACATCTTGAGCAGCCTTTTTACTAAATACGAATAATATTCTTGGATGGCTATTTTTTACTTTTTACCCTCCTTTGCAAGCTGTTGAGGCAAAACTACACCTTAATGTTTTGATGTTGTGATATTTAAACGCTCCTCATTGGTGGAGTAGATAAGGTGGGGTGAAAATTAAGTTGCTGTGCTTAAGAGGGGTGAACTGGGAATTAATTACTGATATTCCATATAAACAGTTACACTGTGAATCAAGTGTGACCCAGAGACATTTTTCCTTTGTATGTTCACAGTACATAGTACAAAAAAATTTTTTAATCAATTTTGAAAGTTTATAGTTTTAACAATTTTTCAGGGCAAAAATTCTAGACTTTTCTAAAGATTTCCAGAGCTTGAGGCAAGTCATTTGCACTTACCTCAATATATAACATACAGGTTTCCTGTAAATTCATGGTAAATGTTAGCATCTAATTAAAGTATAAGAAGGGAACGTGGAAGGAGGACACAAGAAAGAAGTGGAGGTGGAAAATAAGAAAGAGAACTAGAACAAAAAAAATGAAAAGGATATATAGGTGCAGGATGGTCACATATGGACAAATAAAAAAAGGAGGAAGGAAACAAGGATCCAACAAAAGGCAGAAGGAAAAGACGTGAAATAGTCACATTAACAATTACATATTTTCCCACACTTTATCGCTTAGTTTGCTTATACCTCTGGCCTGCTCTGACAGGCAGTTCTTACAAATGAACCTGAAAGGAAACCAGGGGCCCATTTCTGAGTATTGCAATTAGAGTGAAATAAACACACATGTAAGCAACAGTGTTTTATGTTTATTGGAGTTTTTTCATCATCATTACATTGACTTTAAAAAAAAACAATAATTTGGCTAAGAAGCAAATATTGCACACTAAATCCTTCATGTTTTGTTCAAAACAAAAGTGGGCTGCAATGAGAAATTTACACTCTGAGGTAAATCATTGTCTAATATGGCTATGTAATTTATGGCGTGTTTATTGTACTGTTCATTGAAGAGTGCAAATGTACATTTGAAGCGTTGTAATTACCTGTAATAAAGCCCTTATCTTCTGTACAATGTAAAGCTGTGACTGCTGAGAGTAAAGGTGTGATTAATGAGAATACATCTGATTAAATGAAGGAGTCACATGGAGCTGCAAGAGGTTGAAGGTGACAGTTTATGATGTTATGAACATGCAGAGCAGGAAGTACATGCACACGAGAGACTGCCAAGACGTAGGAAGACGTGTTGAATTGTATGCCACCTGAATGCAGGCAGGAGTTGAGCTTTATATTTCTGTGAGAAACAAATGTTGCTGAATTTTTCAAGTGAGACAAACTCCATGTAGTGGTTCTGGTCTATTGAGCTCCAATCAGACGTTCTTTAGAATATTTATTTAGAAGATAATATCCTTCCCATTTCCTAATGGAGCTCATAAGTGACGATAACAGGGGGAATCCCACAGCAATATTTCCATAATTATTCTCAGGCCGTAATCCAGCAGGTGGTTTGATTTTCTCATCACCTTCCCAAAATGTAGCACATTTTCTGCTTCCCTTCACTAATGATGTACAATCTGGTCATGAACTGAACTCCCAGACCTGTGACTAATCAGGACTCAGTCTGCCTGGGAAGTCTTTTAGCCCTGATCCGTAAGGTAGAAACCCAGCTTAGCGACAGCCATCTCTCTGCGAAGTCGCATCACCTCCCAGAATATCTGCTCCGCTGAAAGGTGCCGGGAAAATATGCCATCAGACAAGATCAAAGTTAGCAAAACAAAGTTACACAACAGATTCTTACTTTAACTCACCATTTTGTCTCACTAAGCCCTGCAGGATGTACCGAATGTACGTGAAAAAATTACACACAGCCGTGATCTGGAAAGATAAGAAGTGTTTAAACTCTGTAGCTCTCCACGGCAGCAACAGAAAGATTTCTAATTTAGTTCTGAAAATAAAATTACCCGAGCTCGGCTTGATGGAGAGATGTAATAGTAGCTCCCCTTGTCTCCCAGCTTGATGCGATGTTGGCAGACTCGTGACAAGCCACTCAAAGCACATTTTCTACAAACAGAAAAATCAGCTAAGACATTTCTGCTCCAACAGTGTTGACAGTACTTAACAGAGTCAGACTCTGCACTTTTTGACCATTTTGTCACTTTGAAACCACAAATTGAAGAATTAGTGGGATTTTACGAGACAGTCAAAACAAAGTGGAGCATAATTGTGAGGTCGTAGAAAAAAAAGGACAAGTTTTCACAATTTTCTTCTACACCACACTTTTCAGATTTAGAAAAATAAATAAATAAAAAAACTTTTGCTTTGTGTTGGTGTGTCGCATACAATCCCAGTTTAATACAATGAAGTTTGATTGTAAAATGACAAAATGTGAAAAAGTTAAAACAGCACAAATACTTCTGAACAGAGATGAGTTATTTTAAAAGACATTCATGAAAACAATAAACACTTAGAGAGTTAGTCACAGAAGGATAAGGAAATGGTTGTGGATTGCAAAGATATGCAGAGTTTAAAGATTGGATTTTTAACACTTAAATCTGGACAAGACGACAAAAACACAAGTTAGTGCAAATTATATAGTGTGACTGATTACTGAGAGGACTTACGTCTCTACTGAAGCCCTAAATCCACTGGAAAAGACAAAGATTATAGATGAGACAGTGACTATTAGTGTGCCCACGGATTCAACCGCTCGATGAGAACAGAGTGGAAAACTACAGCTATAGGATCAGAAATCATCAGTGAATGAGTCCAAAACAAAAACAGTGAAAATGATTTGACCACCATGTAGTGAAACAGAGGACAGAACAGCAATCGCTACAAACAAGCAAACTCACTTTGGACCTCCACACTCTAAAGCTGACGCTTTGACCAGAGGTAAAGCCGACATGGCCACAGGTTCGATGGTCAGGGAGTTGTTCTCCACTGCTCTCTGGACCAGCTGGGACAGCTGTGGAAAACAGGAAGTTAAACATCCACACACATGCACATATTCATGAGAGGAGCAAGGTTTGGCTTCTGTAAAGGAGGCTCTGACCTCTGATCGTGTGAAGGAGAGACACGGCCCGATGTCTTCGCGGTAAACTCGACTCAGGAAGGCGGAGGATCGGTCCAGGCCCGGATGTTCCCTCCACAACAAAAACTCTGCAAACAGAACCGAGTCCATCTGCAGGGAGAGACCAAACAATCACCAACACAGTCAGTGAACTGAAAATAAAAAATTTAAAAAAGATCACAAAATAATGGCAAAGTCTTGGAAGGACTCAGGGTTCTTGTAGTTCTCAGTTACAGAAACAATAATTAACTTGTTAAAACTGATACAGTCGCCTTCTGGAAAAGAAAATATGAAGTTCAAGAACCACCACATTTGGATTTTTATTTTATGAGAACTTGGTGAAGATTTTGGAATTATTTCTGATAACTTCATTATTTCATTCACTTTACGTAATGCAGCTGCACCGCCAACAGCGGTGTATTTAATTAATGTTTTAATTATACATTTATTTATTTTAATCCCTTTTGACCGCCCATAATATATTAATAATAAAATAATAAAATGCCCTTTAACTTTAACTTACAATAACTTTGTAAGGAAAGTTATTTATGGAGCAGAATTGATATTGTTTCCAAAACTTAAAATTGATTCTACATAAAAATAAGAATCTGGCTTTGCATTGATTCCAGGAGGATGTTCTGCACCATAAACTCCTGAAAGGGTGAAACCTCGTGGAGGAATTTTTTTTTTTTTTACATCAGTCCATAAGCGTGTCTCCTCTTTAATCATGAGATCCTTCACTAGAATCATATGACCTTCATCTCTGCTCAATAGCACTCAGCCTTAGTAGGTATTTTCCAAGTTGCTTTCCACACGACTAACATTACATCTCCTCCTTTTTTCTAATATTTGCGTCTTGTTTTTAGTCGTCGATGTCACAGATCTCTATGACATCAAGGCATCATTAAACTTTTAATGATGCGTTTAAAAACCTGAAACTAGAAAAATTACACTTGCAACGCATGATACGCTAAAGCAGCGGTGTCAAACTAATTTTTGTTTTGGGCCAAATCGTGATCTTAAAGGGCCGGTTGTGCCAGAATGTATTGATAAACCTGTTCACAAGCTGTTAAAATATCAATGAATTCTTCAAATTAAATAATATTATTGAACATCTTTTCAGTCCTTCCAGGATTTTGTGATACTTAATTGTAATTTTTGGCAATAAAAAAAGTCAAAGTGTTTGTGGTATTAATTTGGAAATATGTACACTTATTTATGACAGTAAATGTGACTTTTTACTTTATTACTCGTATAGATCTTGGACTACAATCTGACATCAATTAAGGTGGAGGCAGCTGTTTAGTACAAGTAAGAACATTTTTGACAATTTTTGAGAAAAATCTGCAATAAACTCCCAATTATGTATGTGCAGGGATTTGTTTATTTTGTGTGAATTTCCACTATAGCTCTTAAGAAACTGGAGGGACTGTTTGATATAATTTGGCAGTAGATGGACAAAAACTGCATTGATTTGCTTGGTATTTAAAATCTAAAGGGCCACATAAACAGCTATGATTTCACCCACAGGCCTTGAGTTTGACACAGTACAGTGAATGAACGTCTTGCGCGCAGGTTACCTGTTTGTTATCAGTTCCTATGCCCTCTCCCTGGTCCGGGCCAGCATTTACACTTATTGACTGGCCTGGCAGCAGACAGAGAATCAGAGAGAGGAGAGCAGGAACAGCAGGCTGAGAAAGGAAGAGAAAAACAGCGGCAGACAGGAAGAAAGGGTCAGGGAGAGGTTAGCGGCTACAGAAGGAAATCCGAGAAGAGAACTCAGCTCTCTGCGATGGAGTTCATTGAAAAGCAGATGAAGCTGGAAGAAAAAAGGAATGCGCAATGTCGGGAACAAAAAAAAAGGTTTCTCCCATTTACCTCTCGCTCCTCTGTAGCCACAGACTGAATGGAAACGGTAGAAGGTTCCAGTTTTCCAGATGAGGTCTGGAAGGGCGCGCCGACGCTGTTGGTGCGGATGTGGCCCGCACCGCGCCTGTGGGAACCCCTGGAGCCCGACGACTGCAGCTGGGGGTGCAGCTGCCGGTTCGGTGAGGAAGGTGTGGACGTCAGCACCAGAGTTTTGAGCGCAGTCACCTCGGCTTGCAAAACGTCAATCTGGTAAACAAAATCCAGACAAAATGTTCACTAACTGTGTGAAATAGAAGAGTAAAGTGGACAAAAGAGCTTATTTTTTATGATGTGGAAATAGACAATAACGTAGCACACCTTTCCTTGAGCCTCCTTCAGTTGTTTCTCTGCCCCTGCTTGTTTCACATTAGCTTCACGCACCATCTTATGGGCTTCCTGTCAAAATAAAGTCACCACATGAATAAAATCAAACAATGCATTTCCACATTTTTGCAGCATTTTAAAAATTATGCTGCTACCCCTTTTTTATTCCTGAGAAGTACTAAGGAAATAAATTTATCCAGATTGACACGCAAGCATCTGAGCTCATTCCATAACTAACAGTGCGGCTTCCTGTCAGCAGCTAGCAGAGTTAAAGTCCAGTCAGCAGAAAGCGGCGAACGCTGCTGACCTCAAACAGACTGGCAGTCAGCTCCTCCAGCTCCTGTTCCAGCTGATTCCTGACTTGCGACAGACGTTCGCACTCCTTGTCTTTTAGTTTCAGTTCCTGAGATGCGAAGAAGCAAATGACAGGAACACATTTTACTGCGAAGAACATCTGCATGGTCAGCGTTTTCTTCCCGCCCGTTTTGAACTATATTCAGTATGTTGTGTGTGCAAACACTAAGTAGGTTACGATACCCTCTTTGCTGCGTCTAGCTGTTCCCGGAGGATCTCTGACCCCTTCTCTCTGATTTCCTTTTCTTTAATTTCCAGTGAGGAGCTGCGGAGCCGGCAGAGGTCGCCGTGCGGTCTGCCTGAGATGGGCCCATCCCGGCTTCCTCCCTCCACTGTGGTCACCGGCTCTGGATCCAGATCTACCAACCTGCAAAAAACACAACATCATAAATGTTGTCATCAGAAAAATACTAACATAAAAGAGGAATAGAAAACATATGCTGTTGTGTTGAGTACATGTCATAAACTTGTGCAGAAAGAAATTATGTTATGCTGTTTCAGAAAGATTTTTATTTACCACCTGAACACCTCAAAACATTTGGCATCATTTAATTATTTGAAATACAGAAAACTAACCCCAGTATTCTTATATTTACAGCCATGGAGTTCAATAATTTGTAGAAATCTTTACTGCTCAAAAAGAGGAACGCATTTTTCCTTACTAACCTACTTACATCAACAGATGATATGCAACATTTACTGGGATATCTGGTATAAAGATGTGTAAAAAGCTATAACATAATTACATTTTTATTGCAGTAGTATATTCTCACACTGAACTTTGAGCACATTTATTTAGAGGGGGATTATTTAGACAAAATTATTGCCACAATTGCTCCTCGGAGTTAATAAAAAATGAACAGGGCTGAATTTCTTGGACGTATACTTTAAACTGATTGCTGTATTTAATTAGAAAGCCATGACTTCCTGTTTCCCTGAGAAATAACAATGGCATGATTCAGAGGCGCAGTTCTCTCAGTTTTTAAAATATGAGAAACACAAAAACACAACCTTCTTCAAGGTTCTGATTGAAGGAAACTTTTTTAGAAAATGTCAAGGTTTTGCTTTGTGATAGTATTCTCCTGATTATAAACAATCTACAATACAATCTTGGAGTTTTGGTGCTCTGGTAACAGATGCCTGCTCCTTGTCCTCATCTCACTCCTCTCAGAGTCAACACTAATAGTAATAAGATCGTTAACACCCATAATGTGTCTTCCTTTCATTGTTGGACTAATGGGTCTTTTATGATGTGATTCTGCTCCAGGAGCAGTTTGCACAGTCTGATATCTTCCATTGCACAGTGTGACAAATCCAGCCTTTATCAAGCTCAAAAAGTTTGACTTGTTCTAGTGCTTTACAGTTTTTGAAAATGAACAGTTTGAACAGATATTTAAACATCAGAAAATTGGGACAGGAAAAGAAACGTCTGTAGATTCAACCATTAAAGTGTTAATTAAAAAGATTAAAGAAATTGGAAGTGTGACAAATAAGACTACATGATAAATCTGGTTCATCTCACCACCAAGCATAACGATGAAAATGGTAAGAAAGATTATAGAAAATCTTTAGAAGGTTATATTGAGCCTCCTAGTCTCCATTAAAAGTTATATATTTTAGGAAATTTGTGCATTTATGACACAAAATGAGAGAGTTGTACACGTTTTCCATTGTGATTACATAATTGAACCGATATGTTTTACTATCAGCTTCTTGTGACAGTAAATAAAACTCAGAGCACATTTCATACCATCTGTGAGTTTGCATCTTCAAACTCACAGATGGAACAATAGTAACTCTTTGTTCCAATGTTGACAATCAAAAACCTAAAGGTAATTGTCAGACCAGTGATTATGCTACAGCTGTTGTCCCCCCAAGTGCAAAAATAGAAAAGAAAAAAGGTGATGTGGTATCACGGGCTGCAGTTTCGAATAGTCACACTGAGAATGTATGCATGCACAAAATACCATTTATTTCTTTGTTTTTTCCCATTCCTGTCAATGTCATTGGCTGATTGCTGGCGTTTTGATCCAGTTTAACTTTTTTTTTAATTTGAGGAGCAGAATTTTAAAATCGACAAAAGACAAAGTAGGATGATGATTTTGAGCACCTGTCTACCAAAAACACAACTGAATTGAGGCATTTCAACATGCTTTATTCAAAAATTGTAAGTATGTTCTACCTTTCCAGGCTGATTTATTAAAAAAAAAAAACACCTCATTTAGAAGTAGGTCTGAATGAAAGGAGATCATGGGAATTTTGTGGAAGAGTAGCGAGTTATATGTCACTTCTGATCCACTCCAGTTCTGAATAGTGCATGCATATGGGATCAAGGTTGTGGACTTTTCAGTGTTTTTCTGCATCAGAACTGGCAACATTAATCTCGATGTGATATCACTGACATATCTGTAAACTAATCCTAGAATGATTCTAATTCCGAGTTTAATAAGAAAATATGCATTTCATAACTTTAATATCACACATTGTTACCGTGTTTTGCTCTGGGGTTATAATCTATCACGTTTATAAGAATCAACTGGTCTAAACAGGGATTTAGAGCTAAACTAAATCGAGAATAAAATGTAATATGAAGTTTTCAGACAATGTACGATTTTTCCATGCAGTGAACTTCACTACAAAATAGCCTTTTGTTTGTTACAATTAGAGCAACGATGTTTATGTACAAAGTCCCTATAAAAATAACTGAATTAAGTGTGAGATTTGGGGATATATATATATTTTTAATACAGAATGAAATTTGTAATTTATGTAAGTAGGAAGAGCAAGAAAGTGAATCTCAGTTGGTGGCAATGTGAAGTGACTTTACAGCACCGTAACCGTCTTAATTTTTAACCCGAACACATGATTTCATCATGCATGCATCAGTTGAGCATTTGGATTTCCTTTGAGCATTTTTTAAAAATATTCTTTTGGTGAAACAGCCTGAATCGTTATATATAAACCCCGTGAATTTGCTGACATGTTTTAGCTTTAATATCTGGCCTCCTTTCCCCCAGCCTCGGACCAAAGACGAACCACGAACCATAGTTTGGAAAACTTTGATTTTTGCATTCGCAGCCTTTGGACGTTTTGGTAATATTCGAATTTAAGTTTGAGTCAAAGAATGGACCAATAAGGTTTTTAAGCAGCCTGAGCTAGTTAGCTGTCAATCCCAATTCTTTAATCCTTAATGCCCAGCCTTACCCTGTCAGAGTCCAGGACAGCAGACAAATACCCCCACTGGTGTCCTCACTCGTGTCAGCCTCCCCTTTCCTCCTCTTTTTCCTCCACTCTTCTTGTTGTCAGACAAATAAACGACGGGACAAAGTGAGATAAGAGCAGCGAGTTTCGCTGAAACTAATCCCAGCCGTTTTAAATCACAGCGGAGGAATGCGGACGCTGACGTCGACAAGAAGAAGAAGAAGGACAGCAGCAGCAGCAGCAGTGAAGCAGCAGGACTCAAAAACAAAAAAAAGGGACAGAAAAACTGTGCGGCAGCTTGGTGCTAATATACGTTCCCAGCGTGCCGCTCAGCAGGTCCTATAAAATAATCATTTCCTTAGACAGAAAACAACTTTCTCCTCTTCTTCTGCCCTCCTCCCTGGTCACATGACAGCACCTCCACTCCCAGTTTCCTGTCAGTCTCATCCCAGCAGACAGACACCGTCACAACACAAAACAACTGGACTATAGGCGCACTTTTAAAGCCCCTTTCAAATCCAGGATATGTGTTGTTTAATGCTAAACTTTAATATCAAAGGGAAAACCACAAACATGAGGATTACAGAGCCATAAACTTGATCAATCCTAACTCTATTTGTGTTGGCTTGAGCTGATAAATGGAGGGAAACCTATAGTTGGCATCTCCTTCTGGGGCCCAACACAACAGCATTCAGTAGAAATAAAATCTATTTCATTGTCTTATTTATCAGCAATGTTAACATTTAACCAGAAGGACATAGCCTCTTATGACACTCACTTTCTGTCCTACTTTAAAATCAAAGGTTTATTTCAGAAACTTGGATTCCTACATGTTTTTCCACTGTGCTAAAAAAAAAAAAGCAAGAGGTACTGAGGTTGATTCTTCCCTGAGCAAAGTTGTTTCTGATTTTGAGGTGTGATGTCATTTTGGTTTAAAACGTAGGCCAGAATGTTCAACAATGCAAAGCTCTCCACATGTCACTCACTTTGACGCAGCACAATCTCGCTCTGTTGTGGAACAACAGCACAATAATAGATGCTGTAGCAGTGCACACCGCCCACCACCTGCTACGTGAAAGCATACCTCTCTTGCTGTACAGCAGGATGTCTTTACAGTTCTACATTTTGCCTGACCTTGTGGCATTTTTTTATTTCCACTAACTGAACATCCAAATAACCAACAGAAACTTGCATAACCTTTGTATTTTTTGCAACCATGTGAGATGCCGCCCAGGGCAGAAAGCCACACTGCCTATATCAAATACCATGTTAGAATAGACTTTCAATTTTGGTATTTAAGCCAATGAAAAATGTTCCCTTCTGCAGATTTTTTGCCACTGTTTGCTCACAAAGTGACACTTACTGTCCAACAACACAGCGTTCCTCTGCAGTGATCCTGCTGGACTGGTGTTTGACTGCAGGCACTCTAGATGTCCCAAAGAAAACTGGAGAGGAGTAGACTGATATTCCGGACCGACCTGCCTTCAGGACTTCATACCCTGGGGTGGATGAGGCTGAAGTCGGTGGAGATGAGGAAATATGGACGCTGTGAATTCCCTCCAAAGCATCCATGTGGTTCTCTCTCTTTCTCAAGCAGTCCAAGTGAGAAGCAGCAAATTATCCTTTGTGAAGAATTACTTTGGCAAATTGTTGAAATTGAGCTGGATATACCTGATGTCTGCGTTTTTTAGCACTTGACAGAGAAGAAAGTCAAAAACAATATCTTAAAATCCACACAAGAGGGTGAAATACTTTTTTCTTCACAAGCTATGCTAAAGAAATACATTTTCGTCCAGATAATCAGACGTAAGTTAAGTACCACACTTGTAAAATATTCTAAATCTACATGTTTGAAATAGCTTTATAACTAAAAAATACAAAGTAAATACTCACCAACATGATTTCTTGTTGCCAGAGCACAAAAATCTGCAACACAGCACTTTTCTGCTTAGTTAATCCTGTGAGTTTAGCTCACTAAACTCTCCGCACTTCGCCCTGATCTGACTCTCCTGGTTTGGCAGGAAGGGTTAATCACTAACCTCTGCTGACCAGTAGCAACTCAGCTGTACACATTTTTTCCAGCTGAGGGGGTCGAACATAGTTTTCACCTGAAGGCTCAAAGCCACTTCAGTCAAACAAATCAAGTGTGCTTTTAGAGATAATGATATGTTCTGACAGACTTTTTTTTAGAATAGTACAATTAATATGTGTGCATGGAATAACAACTTGTACGATATGCTCCTCAGATCACAGCACTCAGCATTCATGTCTATCTGAGCAGTATGGTGCTCAGATTTGCTCAGATTAGCAGGATCTGGTCTCACAATGCAGCTTTGTTGCACAGACAGATTAACACATCAAGTGACCAGAGGTGTGGGAGAGCCTTGCTTACTTTTTCCTCTCCTTCTTTGCCGTTTCCAACATTGCCCCTGGGCTCTGCCTTCCCACATCTCGAGCAACAACAAGTAGGATGGCCAGGTGTTTTTTTTTTCCTATTGGTGAGTGCATCAATCAGTTCTGAGCGTTAAATATAAAGACTCTGAAAGGTGAACTTTAAAAGGCAACTTTCAGATTAATTTTAAAAACATTACTGTAAATAAAATCACGTATTTAATGATAGGTTAACTAAATAATATGTGTTTTGCATTAGAGCAATGTGCTAAATGTCAGCTCATAATAATAAAAGTGTCATATAAATCATAAAACTAATCCCTCTGTTCATTTTTGTAGATTTGTTTCCAGGTTGGGCTTATGAGTTCCACTTCAAACACTGAAGTTGAAGCCCAAAAAACAAAGACGCTCCATCGGGTTCTCTCATGTTAGACTACATTCTGCCTACAGCTTGGTCTAGAAGAAGCAGCGACAAACAGCAATGACAGTGACATACTCTCGAAGAGTTGCTGACGCAGGTTTGGGGACCTTTTTTCACCTGCTCCTGCGATGGAAAGGCAGCATCTACAAACTGCTGTACAGGGAGCTCATCATCTTCACTGTACTCTATTACTTCTTCAGCGTTGTTTACAGGTAATCATAGGAGTCGATTAATCATTTAAAACCTTCATTTAAAAAAAGAATGTAGTACGATTCTGTATAAGTGCAGATAAAAGCTCTAATAATCATGTATGATGCTTGGTTATTGAATATGTGTGAGAAAGACAAGGAACAAATGCAACCAGATGGATTCTGCAAAATAATTATTATTGAGTATCTAAGAAAATCAGGTGTTTCCTCTCACATTAACAGAAGCAGTTGTTTTTCTTTTATCCATTTTGGAAACAAGACTAGCTTTTTTTTCAATTTTTTTATGTAGATGTGCTACCTTAAAGCATATTACTGTGAATGAATTAACTTTAATATAATCAGTCAACTATTTGGACTACATGAGCGAAAAAAAAATTCCCGCTGAAGAATGAATTTATTACCTAGCCCACTTAGTGATTACATAAGTTTGTGGAAAAAGAAAAGCAGATTTAGAATATTTCTCTTAAATACTGAAATATAAAAACAATACAGAGTGTATATAGCAGCATAATCAATGATTATATTGATTATTAATCACTTCAATTATTTATTTAATTAAAGAAACAGAAAGCAAACACAAATTCTATCATTTACATCTACACAGTAAATGGAGGATTTCCTAAATAAAAAGTAAAATAAAACTACAAACACAACAAAGAAATATCTATTCTAGTGGGTATTTCAATTTGTAATCATCAAATAAAAATGCAATATTTAGAATTAACTTAAGTTCTTTTTTTATTATTATTTGCTTTTATTCACCTTATCTTTGATTTAAAAATGAGTTTGAAATGTAGAAATGTACATATGAGGAAAAAAAAAACAAGTCTGTAAAGGGGTAAATGCAGATCCACAGGATTGTACTATGACACATATTTACAGGCACTCAGTCAAAACTTCTTTTTCCAAAACACTTCAGGGTTACGGCACAAACATCAGTCAAGGATATTTTGAAGGCCCTCTGGGTGAACAGTCCCTGCAAGTTTAAGGATTAAGAGGCCTTGAACCGACCTGAACGTAAATCGAGTGAATATCTTTCCTAAGCCTCAATAGTCAGTCATTTAATAAGCAGGTTAAAACATTGTTCTGAACAACTGAAGGCAGTTAATAGTTTCATTATTAACCATAAATCTGAGACAACAGTTAATATTAGGTTTTGGCGAACATTTCTAAAAACATTCCTGACACAAAGTAGGAGGATTATGTAGAGAAAAAAGCTTGTTTGTGACCACTTGATATGTTGCTACTTGTGCAAATCTCTTCAAAGGAAAATGATGTTTGACAGAAGCAGTAAGCCTCTTATAAGAGTTTCAGCACACAAACTGAGAACCACTGACAAGAAACTGAAATAACATTTGAAAAGATATTTTGCAGGACTGTTCACATCAAAAAAAGGTTAAAAGCCTAGTTAAGGACTTTCTATGTGGAGTTGACATATGGGTGTATTCTCTCCACAGTCCAAAAACACACATGTTGGGGTAACTGATCACACCCTCACTGCTTATGAATGAACTTTGTTTTTTTTCACCAGGTTTCTACTGAGCAGTGAGCAGAAGAGGCTGTTTGAGAAGCTGTCAATATATTGTGATCGCTATGCAGAACTCATCCCTGTGTCGTTTGTGTTGGGTGAGTTGGTTTTGGTGGTTTTAAAGGTGAACTGTTGTGCTTTCTTGAACAGATGTTTTCTTGAAAATCACACTTTTTTTGCATAAAATCTTTATGCAAACGATTGAATGGATTAAATGAAATTTTAGTCTGCTCAGTTCTAGAACCTCTTGCCACTTCAAATCCAAATAAGCTAATGTTGGCCACGTCTTGCAACTCAATGTTTACACTCCCACATAAATGGCTGCAAAGAGATGGGCAGTTATACAACTGTACATCTTTCAAATGTAGAAATAGAGTTTCCTGCACAACCAACAAGAATGAAGCAATTGGATTCTGGAAGGGAAGTCAATAACAAAGCACCTGTCTTTTCCAGTAGCCATTGTACAGTTCATAAAGCAGTAAAACCATCTGACCAAATATGCTCCAGCACCTCTTGTGGGTAGATATGCTGGGGTTCGCTGCTGTTGCTTTTGTAGGTGAAGGGCACTAACATTACATTTTGAAGGTTTTTAAAATGGCTCATGTTCCAGATAGCAAAAAACATTAACTTATTGCCAAAAAGTGGCTCTGTGTTGTTTTACGTCTGTTTTTAGAAGTAACAGAGATCCAGTGGAAGTGCAAAAACATGCAAAATGTAAATTTTGCATAATACATCCTCTTTAAGTCAAGCAAAATTCTTAAAACTGCGATTCATCCCAGATGTTAAATTGTTTTTGTTTTTAAATAACAGGTTTCTATGTGACTCTGGTTGTTTCCCGTTGGTGGGGTCAGTTTGAGAACATACCCTGGCCAGACCGTTTGGCAGCACTAGTCGGAGGCCATGTCCGTGGAACCGATGACACTGCAAGGCTGACCCGAAGAACACTGATGCGCTATGTCAACCTCTCAGGAGTTCTGATCTATCGCTCTGTCAGTACTGCCGTCTACAAGAGGTTTCCAACCACTGAGCATTTGGTGCAGGCAGGTACGGCAATGCAGTCCAGCAGGCTTACAAATGAAAAACATCCGACGCGTCTTGAAAGTATCTTGGTGTATACTTACCTAAAAAATACAGTCACACACATTTACCTCCATAATATATTTCTTCCTTCCAGGTTTGATGACCTCAGAGGAACTGAGGCACCTGGAGGATCTACCTTCCCCCCATAACAAGTTCTGGGTGCCCTGCACATGGTTTGTCAACTTGGCTTTGAGAGCACGGACGGAGGGTCGCATCAACAATGACGTGGCCCTCACAGCCATTCTCACTGTAGGTCTTTGTTTTACATCAGCCTGTTGGCTAGACATGAATTAACTTATAAACATCCTTCATTTCAAAAAAACACTTTTTAATTTTTTCCATTCAGGAGCTGAACAGCCTGAGGGCAAAGTGTATGAAGTTGTACGGTTATGACTGGATTAGCCTGCCTCTCGTCTACACTCAGGTTGGGGGGATTTATTTTCTACAATGGGGATCTTAATAACAGGTGTAGCAGTTAAATAAATGACTGATGCCTTTGAATTAGGTGGCAACAGTTGCTGTCTACAGCTTCTTTCTGGCTTGTCTGATCGGCCGACAGTTCCTGGATCCTGCGCAGGGATATCCGGGACATGATGTGGATTTCTACCTGCCGGTTTTTACCCTGCTGCAGTTTTTTTTCTATGTTGGTTGGCTGAAGGTGAGACAAAGTTAAAAGATTATTATCACTTCTGACTTTTAGCTTTCAATAACATGATCTGTTGTTCTGATGGTCTCAGGTGGCGGAGCAACTCATAAACCCTTTTGGTGAAGATGATGATGACTTTGAAACAAACTGGCTAGTTGATCGAAACCTGCAGGTGCAAACTATTTCTTAGCTGTATTTTAAATTTTAAACAGACAGCAGCTATTGTGTTTGACTTGTGGAGGTTTCCATCGTGTCTCAGGTGTCTCTTTTGTCCGTGGATGAGATGTATGACAGCCTGCCACTGGTTGAGAGGGACATGTACTGGAATGAGTCAGAGCCCCAGCCTCCTTACACTCCTGCCAGTGCTGAACACCGTAAACCCTCTTTCATGGGTTCTGCTCTAGATATTAGGTAAACTAATGTGTTTATTACCTGGAATACAATCAAAGAACACTTTGCAGCTGGGTAATTATCCACTTGTTGTCCTCTAGTGTTCCTAAGGAGGAGATGGAGTTCCAATCCAACTTGGAACAAATCAAAGAACATGAAGAAGCCAATTATACCACGCCATTACTTGGAGGGTTGGGCCGTCTTTTGGGCGTCCAGTCCCCAAACTTTCCTCGCTCGTCCCGGGTTCCTCTGCTGCGCCGCCGCCCTGGAGCTCCACTGAACCGCTTCCCTCTTTACTTGCACCCTGAAGCACCATTAACTCCTACTCAAACCCGCTACCCTTTGAACCAGGACCGGGATCCGGACTACGCCTTCTCCACTGTTCCCATGTATGAACGGCCAGGATTTTACAGCTGCCCCCAGACACCAATTCACTGTGTGCCCCCCGCAGTGCCTCGCTCTCGGCATCCCCGGCGGACCCAAAACGACTGGGATCGCAGCTGCAGCTCAATGGCCCCTCCGACAGTAGGCTCCCAGTTACTGGCTCCTGACACGCCCAACCATCTCCCACCACCTCCATCCTCTGCATTTCCATGGTTGAGTGGGGAGGGAGATTCACAGAGTGGACCAGCGTTCTCCTTCCCTGACCCAGCACCGGAACTCTGCCCAATATCTAAACTCAGACCAGGACATGGCCTACTGTCCCGACGCCCTCCTCCCCCTCGCCTCACTTTAGAAACCCTCCCAGCTGCTGACAGCCAGCCAGGACCGCTGAGTGCTCGGGCAACGGGAGCTGGAGGTGAACGAGTGTTCTCATTCACTCCCCCCTCTCACACAGCAGCACCAAATCCCTGTAATCCCAACAGTAGCTCCAGCAGCATTAATGCAACAAGCACCAACAGCGCTGCCACAACAGGAAGTCTTTGCAATGGAACAAGCCACAGTGGTTTAAGCAACCATGGAAACTTCACCTCAAATCCGAGGATGAGCAATGGGAGCGGAAGTGCTGGGTCGAGTTCCAACATGAACACGGTTTCTACATCTGCACCTTCACAAGAAGCGAGTCAGCAAAACTCAGCCAATGACTCGGGAATCTCATTGACTGAGGGGGATCTGCTGGGAGTTCTGGTGGACGGTGGGATGAATAAGGAAGAGAAAGGGAGCAGGACTGAGGAAAAAACTAACTAATTTGAAGCCTTTTATATAATTGATTCTGGAACTATGTTTAGTTAATGAAATAACAAGAAACATCATGGTAAAAAAGGAATTAGCTCTTTGTGACTCTTGTTGAATTAGTTTGTTGATGACAAGAGATATTTAATGTTCAGCATGTCTGAGTGCTGGTCATAAAAGTACCTTATTACATATCTAATATGAAATCAATATGTGACACATTGCTGGATTATGTCAAACTCACATCGGCAAATTAAGGACTTTGTGTTAAAGCCTATTTCCTGAATTAGCTCAGAATTGACCTACTTATTATGCAAAAATCGCCTTAAATGAACTGACACTGAGCCACAAAGAAATTTCAGAAACTTGTACACGTCCGCTGAAAACCAAGCTTAACTGTTTATATCCCAATTCTGAGCTTTGTGCCCATCTGTATGCTATTAAATTATATATTAAATAACATGCTGTGATACTTTTATCAGTTTATTTAAATAAAAACAAACCCCACAAATAATTTGAATATTATCGCTTTATTTTCATACGCTTTTTGTACATACAAGACTATTCAATGTTGTACAGTAACTACAGAATACTGAACTCAAACTTTAAAAGTTATGAAGAAACTGACCAAAAATGAGAAAATTATAACAACAAAACAGCTTTTCAATAATGAACAAACATATAATGTAATGGGTGGTCCATCACTTTAAATAATGAAAAGATCAATTTAGAAAAAAATACATATGATCCTTACTATTTTCACAATCTATACTGAGTACAAGTTTATATGGCTTTGTTTGTAGGACTGTAATTCAGTTCTAAGTGCAGGTTATGGCTATAATGCTAGTGAAAGACACCATCATCGGTTATAAGTAAAACAATTTTACAGCTGGAAAATAAGCGTATCTTTCAGCAAGTTCTCCTTCACACTGGTCTGAGACTGCACCACATCCCCAAGAGTCAGTGGTCCCTATAATGCACAATGCAGCTTAGCAATGTTTCTCCAGACATCCTGGTGGTTGGACATTATTTACAAATTCTACAGGAAGGAGCCTGGAAGCAGCATTGCTGCTCTCAAAAAAAGAAATTCACATTACGCTTGTGCATTTTGCCCAGAAAAGTCTTTATGAGTTGTGCTCCTCATGGAGTGTGAACCCTGGCGTTTTAGAAGCAAATAAACTGTGAATATAGGTAAGGAGATTGTTGAAAGTTCATCGTGCATTGATGTCTAACGGTAGTCGTGGTATTGTATTTAGATCTGGAGGGCGGCGAGTAGGATGAGAAGGGTTTCTGAAATAATTTTACAATGAAGACAGCACAATTCTAAAAATAAACTGAAACAGTGATTATAAAAAACCCATCTTGAGGACGTTCTGTGTGGATCCTGCACTTGCGAAGTATCTCAGATAAATATAATTACACATCACAGAGAACCCTTCAAATGCATCCTCTTGTGCTGTCAGAAAGCTGATGAAGATAAAGTTTGTTCCTCTCACGCTGAAACTGATGATTTAGGACCAGAAACTGCATACAATTATAGGTAAATTCTGCAGATTATGAGGGCAAACCATAGTGTGGCGGTATTCCCTGTGGCAACTCCATTGCAGTAGGATAGCCAATAATGGAGCAAGAACAAATACAGCTCTGAAAAAAAAATGAAGAGCCCTCTGGACTGAGCCCTATTTAAAACCTCCTGGTTATTCCACCAAATGTTGATTTCTAAACTCTTCCTGAGTTAAAAAATTGGAATTGTTGTTTCTAAATCAATATGAACTTGTTTTTTTTTCTTCTTTTTTTGCATTATTTGAGGCTTGAAAGCACAGCATCTTTTTCATGATTTTGACCGTTTCTCATTTTCTGCAAATAAATACAAAATCTTTGGTTGGAATCTAAGAGAAATGTAGTCAGTAGTTCATAGAAGAAAACAACAATGTTCATTTTACTCAAACATATACCTATACAGAGTAAAATGAGAGAAACTGATTATTTTAAGTTGTCTCTTAATTTTTTCTGGAGTCATATATGTGACTAACAAGGCAGTATGGCATTGCTTGCCTCCTCGCTACAATGAGGTTTTCTATGATTTGAACGGTTTTGTAAATTCTGGAGAACATAGAGTGGTCTTAATCCAGCTGTGAAGGTGAACTTTCTTTCCCATCATACAACCATTGATAAATGTTACTTTGGCATGGTCTATACTCCAAACACATATTTATCTAAATATTGCCACAGAAGGTTGATTCATAAATAGCTCAATGTCATGAAATGACATTTTGAGAACAAAGAATGCTTCCCTATAGGTGAAGATAGATGATGATTTGCTACTCAGTTTAACTGGCTTCTTCTCCCATGGTGTGTTTGTCAAAGAGGTACTCGGCCATCCCATTCTGAGGAGCGCCCATGCGACGCAGGTTTGAGATCCAGTCTGCCAGCTGCTTGATGGATTTAACCTGCTCATCTAGGAAATGTGTTTCTACAAAGTCACACATCTGTATAGGAAGACAAAAGACATTGTATTGGAAAAATGTCAGATCACAAGGACAGATCTGAAACAGCTTGTTCTTCTTGGCTGTTTCTCACATGAGGATCATTGTGTTCGGCTGCCATTTTCTGCAGGTCCAGCAGGGATTGGTTTACACTTTTCTCTAGCTGCAAAGCACACTCCAAGGCTTCCAGGCCGCTCCCCCACTCGTCTCTATCGGGTTTCTAACACACAAATAATTCATGATGACTCAAAATTGAGTACATATTCAAGAGGACTTTTTTCAACCCACAAAAGTGCACCACTGGTTGTGAAATTAGGTTTTACATTCTAAAACTGACCCAACTGCTGACAATAACAATTTATATCCATTAATTAGTAAAAGTCTCTTTGCGTACCTTAATATCCTGCAGAAAAATTCTGCCTCCACGCTGGTTCTGCAAACTCATCAACTTCTCTGCATGCTCACGCTCCTCTTTTGACTGGGCATTAAAGAACTTAGCAAAATTTTCTAGGGATTTATCATCCCTGTCAAAATAGTATGCCTTAAAGAAAAGAGAAAACAGGATAATAAAGTAGCAACACATTTTCCACTTAATTATAAAATAATACACAGCAAAAGTGGCTTTTAAGTGTTTCTCACCATTGAGAGATAAACATAGGAGGCATACAGCTCCAAGTTGATCTGTCTGTTGATTGCAGCCTCGCAGTCCTGATGGAAGTTTTGTCGGATTTGGGAAGTCATTTCTATCAACGTTACAACTATGAATGAGAAAATGATCGTCAGCGTGTCTGCAGGTCAAATCCAAAACAAAATACACCAGGCTAGAAAAAATTGAAGTTTCCTTTTGAGATGCCATCCAACATTTAAGGGATTAATCTGGAGAAAAGGGTCACTTATCAGTACTGGTGGTGCACACAAACAAATCTCACAGACAGACCATAACATTATTTGCATTGTGGTAAAAGCAGTCTGCACGCAAAAGTATTTACATCCCGTGAACTTTGTCACTTTATAACCACAACCGTCAATTTATTTCACTGAGATTTTATGTTGCGTGCCTGATTGCAAAGTAAGAAACAAAAAATTTTACATGACAAGTGTGGCACGGATTTACATTCACTCCCAGCACCTATTTGTAGAACAATTTCTCTCTGTCATTATTGCTGTAAAGTCTTTGGGAGTATATATCAGCTTTGCATATTTAGAGCCATTCCTCTTTGCAAAATAACTCAAGCTAACGATTGAACAAAAGCAAAGAACATCAGTTTTCAAATCTAACAAAACTTATTCAACGCATAACTATGTGTTGATACAAACTTTGACATGGTGGTTCTGGTTGTACCTTTGGTTTTACTGTCTTATTCAAATCCTCTATGGTGTACAAATCCTCTAACCGTGGACATAGTTAAGTTAAAGTAACTTAACTATGTCCACGGTTGCTTCACCTGAAAACTTCTCCACAATTTAATCCCAGTCTGTTGTGTTGATGCTGTTTGTTCACTTATATGCCCCAACAATCCTTTGAGGCTTTTGCAAAGCATCAGATTTGACTTTTGAGATTAAAACAAAAGTAGGTAGCATTTAAAAGTCTGCTGCACAGGATTTTATTAAGAGGCAGCAGAGAATAGGGGTATAAAAGCACCTGATTGCACGCATCGCCTTAAAGCTTTACTTTTTATTGCCCCGTCTTTTAAAATCCCAAGATAATACAATAACACTTGTGGTTTTAACAGTCACGTCCCTTATTTTATTGCACATTTAGATGCATCCGTATTATTAAGGGATGCATCTGTTAATAAACCGCGTATCAACTATAAATAAACCTTTATGGGATGATTTCTATCTTAAACTTGGAGCTGGTAAATTATTTCAAATCATGTTCATAAATCTCACAGAAACGCCCAGCATTAACGTATGCTAGCTAAACAATGCTAAGCTAGCTAAACAATGCTAAGCTAACCCGCTATTAGCTGTTAATAGGAGCAGAAACCTACCTGTTTCAAATACTTTCAAATCTCCTTTTCACTTTAGTAATAATTACTGACTGTACTGCAGTGCAATATATTTAATATTAAAGGTTTAAGAGATACACGCCACCTGAACGTTACTCAGTCACCGCAACCGTTTAGCAGAGTAGACCACCGTCTAGTGTTGTATTCACTGACAGTAGGAAATAAGCGAAACTCATTCGCAATTCCTCTTCATCGTTCACCCCCATTATTATCGCTCTTTACTAGACATTAACGAATTACATGCATTTTAATCGACAGAGCCTGCCAGCGACATGTAGCATAATATTGTTTCAAAACAAACTAATCAAACAGGGTCACGTATGAGTCTTCCGAGGTGACTGAAAAGCAGCACTAAATCAATTCAGCGTTTTTTCCCCCTTAATGCGCAGTTGTGAAAACTTTGCAGAATAATGTAAAATGTCTAGTTCACACCCTAAAATGAGCAGATCAGATTCTAATATCAAAGGCAACATTAATCAGTGATGTTTATTTTTTTATTTTGAGGTGAAAACGCCACCAAAACCAGACAAAAATAATTTCCACATTTATACAAAACTGACTAGTCTTTTGAAGTTTTACAAACAAAACAAAATTCAACAAATTTTTTCTCCATAAAGTTTGCTATAAGAAAAGAAAAAAAAAACACGCCAGGCACTAGAATCTCCAGATATTTAATGTGAGATCAGTAGGATGTCAACACCACATCAAAGTGTGCAGTAATTCGGTACATTTTCCCATTTTTCTCAGACAAAATGGTCCCAAAGATGTTTTTTGGGTTGAAAATCAACTCCCAAATCTGCTGTTAGTTTTTAGAAGACACTTCTTTCATCAAACAGTGGTGCAAAAAGTCTGTATCTTTCTATAAAACCATGATTTTTATGCTGGGCAATGTTCCATAGCATCCATCAAAGTATCCTACAATGTAATTTTTCCACAGACCTTTTGTGGGCTGTCAGATATGTCAATGGGATGAATTGGCTCTAAAAAGTCAATTTATTTAATGGAAGAATCATAGCAGTGTGTTTTTGTTGTTGTTGTTTTTTTACAGTACTATCTCAAATTGCCACTAAATGGTGTTTTATTAGAAAACCTCAAAGAAAAACAAATTACACTGGAAAAACTTTATTTGAAACATACAAAAAAAAGGATATAATACAGCAGCAAACACCACACTGCTTTCAGTTAAAAGGTCTTACTTCCCTCCAGCTGGAGGCGAGTGCCACACTGCAGAGCTGGTGCGTTTAAAGTAACGTGGTTTGCTTTTGTAAAATATGTTCTCCAGTCTGGGTGGCTCAATTGGCCCAAAGATGGAGTCCACATCAATAGGGTTGAAGTACTGCTTCATAATTAGCTGCTTCAGATTGGAACCTGGAAAAGTAAAAAAATAAAATAAATAGTTTGACAGTTTTTAAATGGCATGCAAGCATGTACAGATGAACATGCACAAACTAATATTTTGAAACCCCTACACTGGAGGGGTTACAAAGAACCCCAGACAAAAAAAATTTTTTTTGACCCTGCAAAATAAATAATCAAACTGCTTCTACACACCTTCGGCCCAGGAGGGAATGGGTTTTCTGGGGGCAGATTCATCATCTGTTGAATCGTCACTGTTCTGGTCCATTCCGTAATCCTCTGGATTCTTTGAAATAGTCAGCGTCTTACTTCCACCGTTAGGAGTGATGGCGTACGACTGAGGTGACATTTCCTGCAGGGAGAAAGTGGAAAGCACACAATGAGGCCTGAGACAAAAAGTAGAAGTTATGCTTTTAGAAAACCTGTGTCAAAAAATGTTTAAAGAAATACCTGTATGTCCACAGTAACATTTAGACCACCCTTTCCTGTTGGCGTTTTCATTACAGATTTCTGGGAAGAAAGAAAACAAACCACAAAATAAAGACAACAGTAGGTCAGGAAAAAAACGTACAGGTAAGTTGCATGAAATCTGACAACATAAACTGGGTTAAAAGAAAAACAAAACATAACTTTGTATACAAGTTTGTTTGCAATCACTGAATGAGTGAATGCAAGCTCTAAATTTGAGTGATGCTTACCTCAAGGTCAACTGTTTTATTCAGCAACTTCTTTAATAGAATTGAGAGGAGAGAGAAAAATGTTGGGTTTTTAAGATCAGACAATAACAAAATACTTAAATGCACAAAAAACATCTGGATTTAATGAATTTTGCATCACAAAAACATAATTTAGAAGGATTTTCCACCAGATTTGTGCCTGTCAGCTTACTTGTGCCTCAGCAGCAACAGCTTCTCTTCGTTTCGCTTCTTCCCTCTCTTTTAGAGCTTTCTCTTTTGCAGCCAGCCTCTGCTGCTCCTCCTGAAATAATTTCCATGATTGTCAAATATTTCCAGTGCACAAAAAAGAAAGCATTTTCCTAGTGCAGAAATTGGAATGCTGATAGTTCAGTCTTCACAATAAAATAATTTTGATTTGGCCTGAAAGCATCACAGCACAGATGAAAACATTTCTTACCAGTTTCCTTTTGTCTTCCAATGCCTTCCTTCGCTCTTCCAGCTCTCTCTTTTCTTTTTCTCTGGCTGCTCTCTCTACCTCTCGCTGTAAAGCAAGAGCCTTTTCTTTTTCTACCCGCTCTCTGCACACACACATTAAAAAAGCAATTATTATAACCTGGCATCGCTAAAATAACTCGGGTAAATGTGACATACATCTTGACCTGTTTGCTCTTTGGCGAATACAATTAAAGTATGTCGGAAAGAAGAGAAGGGGAAAAAAAATAAATATTCAGCACCATCCCTGCCTTACTCTGTGATAGTGCCGTCTTACATACTGTGATAATTGTTGCAGTAATCAATTAACTGCATGATAAGTTCAAATGAGCTCTAATTTCTATTCTGATGTTTAATATTTTTTGAAGAACAATTCTGTTTACCGGATATTTAGAACATCTTCTAGTTCCACTGCTAAAAGTTCTTTACATAATTAAAGTTTATTGGTCTTTTGAGAAGGTAAACCTGCATTATGTCAACCTGAATGTATCAGTTTAAAATGGCCTCTGAACAACATTATTGTTTAGCGCAATTTATCATGCAGCAAAATTTATCGTGACACGCCGATCCCAGAGCAAAGTTGAAATTTTATATCTTTTATTTCACCTATTATATGCTGCTTTAGTTTTTTTTTGCAGTGACTCTCATTTCTAACAGACCTTTCAGCAGCAGCTTGCCGTTCCCGCTCCAGTTCTTGCTCCCTCTGGCGCTCCAGAGCTTTGCGAGCTTGCTCCTCCTCCTCCTCCGCTTTCTTTTTGGCAGCCAGCTCCTGCTGTCGTTTCTCCTCCTCCTGAGTTTCAAGTGCAGGTGAAATTTATAATTTTATGAAATTTATGAAAATGTTGAAGGTGAATAATTAACTTTTGTTATGTGGATTAAATTGTCCATTTTATTTGACTTGCTGTGTGCATGCTTGGCAAAAATAAAATGTTTTTCACCAATGTATTAAAACATGTTTTAATACATTTTGTATACAGTAAGTTTATAAACATTTCAGTTGGGTGATTAAAGGAAAAAAAGACCATATAAAATGGTAAATGAGCAAATTACAGGGATAAAATAGAAAAAACACATTTAAGTTTTCACCTGCTGAATCTTTTTCTTTCTGGCTTCTTCTTCTAGCTTCTTCTTTTGCTCCAGCTCTTCTTGACGCTTTGCTGCCAGTTTCTTTTTAGCTTTCTCCTCGGCCTGACGCTGTGTAGGCAAAGAAATAAATGAAATGAGTATTAATGAACCTATGAGGAAATGGAGAGCCACCAAACCTTTTACATACTTTATCATTTTTCTCATCAATTTGAGCCATCTTTTGTTCAATCTTCTTTTTCTTTTCCTCTTCCCTAAGCTCTTCCTTTACCTTTGCCTCAAACACTCTTTTTATCCTCTCTTCTCTTTTTCTGTGAAAACAGATTTTCGGAGTTAAATTTACATAAAAACATCTTGCCTAAATGCAACAACTACTTTTATTTTTCCCCCCCCAAGTATGGTAAACCTCTTCAGCTCTTCTTGCTTTTTCTTCTTTTCTTCCTCCATTTTCCTCATCCTTTCTTCCTCTTGTTCCTGCTTCTTTCTAAGAGCCTCCAGCTTGTAACGCTCTTTGGTCTGAAAGAAGGGGAAAAAAATATGAAAAACTAATTACCAGAGATGTAAAAGGCAAAAGGTTACAATTAGTTGCAAGTTTTAAAGAGTTAATAATTTTATCGATAAACATTAAGATAGCTGTGAGGAGGGGGACAAAAAATGAGAAACCAGTGAGTTAGAAACACGAGTTGCATTTGGATGCACAAAACTTCTGCGCAACTAAGAGGCATGGTAAAAAGCTACACAGCTTTTTATTCTGCAAAAAAATATGAATTGTTTACAAGCTAAATACTTTAACCATATTGATAAACTTTTTGGGAACAAAAATGTATTGAAAGCACAAACTCCATGAAGGAGTGTTAAATTTGTAGTGATGCATTTTAGCCAATACTAACAACAATCCAAGTGAATGCTTGATATTTATTGTGGGACATTTTCATTTGTAAATAAAATTTCATGACGATTAGCAGGAGAGCCTCACAAAACCCCCCCAAAAAACTATAGATTCTCTTTGATGCTCCATCAACGCCTAGATGGATATTTTACAAGATGGATGGGTAAAAGTCTTTTCCAAAGTGTGAAAAAACAAAATGTGAGATGAATAATCAGCAATTAACAAAAATAATTATAACTTAGAGGCTCACTTCATACTTGATAAATATATATCATGCTAGAAACAACTCAAGAGGAACTGTTGTCTAGACAGATTTAACTGAACTTTAAATGTTAGACTGAAAGAAAACAGCAACAACTACTGAAGAAAACAGTTGTAGCTGTTTTCTTCAGGATTTTATTGTTCCTGTTGACATCGTCTCCACCTGCTGGCACAGAATGGGGACTAAAGCCGATTTAAAAATTAGAATAAAACAAATTCAAAAAACACACACACACCCCAAAAACACCCAGAGTGAACCGATCAAAACAAAATATTGCTAATGTTTGGTAATGGTGAAATATTATCATTTTATAAATCAACCTACTGGAAAAAAAAACAACTTATTTTCAGCCCCTTCCACACCTAAACAGTGTTTCCATTTCACTGTTTGGGATTCACTTTTAGCCTCATTTTCAGAGCATGAATAAACTAGTTTCTTAATTTTTATGAAGTGTTCGCCAAAAACGATATTTGTAAACACTTTTTAGGACACAAGAGTGGGGAAGGATTTTGTTTTTCTGTGCAAGTGAAA